ACAAGCTTTCTTTCTTTCCATTTACCCTTTATTTTTTATCTTTCACAAAAGCTAAGGCGAAGGTTTACAATATTTCGAGTTCATCTTCATCTTTGTCGCCGTCAGAAGTGACGTCAATATCTTCTTTGATTTCGGCCAAGATAGATTTCGAATCGACTACTTAGTCTTTCTCGACAGAGTATGAGACTTTCTCTGTTTTTTCTTTCAAAATCGCCAGACTTCTCGCATTGCTCCACGGGACAGAAACGACCATTGGTATTTGAAGGCCTCCTTGAATTAGTGGCGATCTTTTCGGCTTCACTGAAATAACCACTGTTGTTCGAATCCCGTACAGGCCTGACTTTTTTCAGGTCTGATTTTCGCTATTGCATAAATAGCGCCATCTACTGCGAGGATCGTGCACCATACGTAAAGCATTCATTGTTAGCGTACCGCTGTCAACACAGCTCATGTTTCAATTCAATCTGCTTCACGTGCCCAATCAACCGATCAGCAACACGGTAGTACCGGTAATGTCTTTGTCACAATATTTCCAGAAAGCATCCGTTTCTAACGAAAGCTCAGCTACGAATTTGCGGCTTCCATCAACAAACGCAACTGGACTTTCCAGTGAAGAGCAGTCTAATATGACCTTAGAAATCAACAATGCTGCGAGTATCAACTGCAAGCGCAAGAGAGTCACCTACAAGGAAGAAGACAAATGCAAGATTGCAAACTGAATATGCCAATCACTGCGGAACGACGAATGCCGTGAACAGATTTAAGAAAGAATTTCCAAAGTTAACAGAAAGTACTGTCCGTGGCTGACTTACTAAGTACCGGTCGCAGTCATAAAGAACACACCGCAAATTACGCCACAAGATGTGCAAATCGTAACGAAGCGTGGGAGGCTGCTTTTGTTACCAGATGAGCTGGATTTCAGGCTTCGCTTGTTTATTATAAACTTAAGAACTGCTGGTGGTACCATAAACAGACACCTTTTGTATGTTGTTCTAATGGGTTTGATCAGGAGCGATTTGGCAAAATATGGCCAGTACCTTGAATTTCGCATTTCTAATGGCTGGGTGCAATCTCTGTACGCCAGAATGGGGTTCACACGCAGAATTGCGACTACTTCCCGACCGACAGTTACGCGAAAATTATAGCTCGAAACGCGTTACCGGTTTCTTAATGAAGTTGCAGAAGCCCTTTCAACACACAGCATTCAAGATCAGCTTATTATTAATGTAGATCAAACACCGTCAAAATTTTTCCCAACAGAGAATGTAACAACGGCAGAAACCAATTCAAAACACGTGGCGAAGAAAGGAGGAAGTGACAAATGGGGCATGACTCTCACTTTAGTAGAAACACTGGATGGATCTGTTTTACCATTCCAGTTAATCTATCAAGGTAAAACAGCTAGATCTTTGCCAGCCACAAACTTTCCAGAAGGGTTTTTTTTGTCCTACAACGAGAGACATTGGAGCAACGAAAAGGAAACCTTGCGATTGATAAATGATGTTCTTCACCCCTACATTCAGCGAACCAAGGCAAAGCTCAGCCTTGACGAGAACGCTAGAACCGTTTACTA